ACGGAACGAACAAGTCATGCATGATGGTAAGCGACACGCCTGTCCATAAGATTGCAGTGCCACTCGGAGCTTTAAATCGCAAAGATCTGAGGAGCGCTGCCACTGCGCCCGTCGCCCTGAGACATAAGTTGACAAGTCCCATGTAATTTCACCAGCAACCTTCAAAACCGGAACGCAGGAGTGCTCGCATTACTGCTTAACGGCAAAAATAGGTAAGGTTACCTGGACGACCTCTTTCACAAGGAGCTCTACAGCTCCTCAAATACGATAATCTGCACGTAATTAACAGAATAAACATTTCTTGAAAAATAATTTTGAACTTTTCTTCTCATAAACAAATTCCTTTACATAAGAACTTCAACAAACAATAGCAATATTCCAGATTTCCCTAAGACTCTCGAAATAGCCAATTTACTAACAGCTCAATTATTATAATAAACATGAGTTGTGACGTAACAGATGGGTTCGCTCATTACCAAAATTTAGAGTGGTTATACAAGACGATTTTTAGCAGCGATGCAAACGTGCGATTGCATCGATACAAACGCGCGACTGCATCGATACAAACGCGCGATTGCATCGATGCAATCACTTATAACCTCCTAAGGCTCCATGTACACCGAAATGTACATAATGTGGACTGAATCAGACCTAGACAATATTAAACCCTTAGAATAATAACGCATAGAAACCTAGTCCGCACACGCTAAGTGAGGCAAATTGAAGAGTGCCCAAAGGGCCTACACGAGCGGGCGGGCCATCAGTGCTCAAGGTCAACTTGCACCGCGAACAGATCAAGAATTTTAGCTAAAAATGACGAAATGTGCAGTAAATGAGTGTAAAAATACGTCAGACAAACATAAAATAGATACTAACATCACATTCCACAAGGAAGTAACGCGTTTCAACTTGTATTTTTATATAAATATTCACTAAAACTGAAAATTAACCTACTACTACAATTGAATACATAAATTTGATTTTTGCCTCACTTGTGAGAGTTCGTTTGATATGAAACTATCATTCTATGCGTTATTATTCTAAGATTAACCCTATGATCACGTAAACGATCAGTGTACGTTATAAAGAAAATATCGCATTCAAATTTGTCGCTCTATATTCTATGACCATAGGGTATTGAGAAATGTGCATTTTACATTAAAAACTGTAGAGCTAGCACGGCTTAAGTGTCAAGCTTGACGTGCTCTTGACCCTGTACGTGGACTTGAAGCATGTAATTATATTTAGTACATTTTAATGTACCTAGGGTGTTTAGCGTTTTTTCCGATTGTATTTGCTGGGTCTTAAGACGTTAAATCACAAGTGTAGCGATGTAATCACGCGATTGTATCGATGCAGTCGCGCGGTTGATTTGCTGCTTACAGTTGCGCGTGTGTGTAAAGGTACATCAGCTACTGCATCACGTTTGCATCGCGTTTGCAACACATATGTATATGAGGAAGACAGTTACTCCAATTGGTTAAGGGGAGTCACAGAAAGAGAAGCGGGGATAAGGGTTTTGATAGATCAAATTGTTTAGGTATTTAGGTAGGTTAGATGCACCTAAAGATAATGTCTAAAGAACATGCTAATTTGTTACGCGATAAACTACTTTACGCGATCATAGAAAACAGCTAAAATGAAAATCTAAAACTAATTATTTAAGAATTTATATGGAGATACTTAAGTACTACAGAGAACCTATTGAATTTTGGTTTTCAACTGAAGCCCTATAGTTATTAAACTCACATTAATTTTAAAATTGGACATTGGTTTAAAACACGCCGCGCCGCTCGCTGTCCCTTCAGTCACCATCGGGCGCTTGTCGACGTCGGATCTGTGTCAAACTTTTTCCACCTGTTCTTATTTTGTTCATATTAATTTTTAGCGCGCAATTCACACCCCACCTCCTAAAATGGGGCTTGTAGCATCTGAATCCGGGGTCGGTATAAAGTTGCAATGGAACCCGAATGAGCCCAAATGCGAGTATCGTGCGATCCCGGGACTGATTGTAAAAAATAATTAGATTTAAGTCGCATCTAATCCCGGGTTAAGTTGCACCTCGAGAGACGACATTAAATTTGTATCGTCTGCGTTGAAATTTGTTACGTTGCAATACATCGCATTAAGAGCACATACATACACGCAAATTAAACTTTATGAAGGAGACTGTAAAACGGAAAAGAGCCAGTTGATTGACTACGATGCTAATTTATACATCATCATCATCATATAAAGACTTCATCAGAAATATAGGTTACGTTACGCAGAACAACCTGAATGCAATTACACTGTAAAAGGTAAGCGTGACGGTTCTGTAATAATTTCTTTGAAATATGATAAAATTCGATACATAACGAACACACAAAATATTATAAACAATATATCATGATGAAAATTTTTCTCTAAAGTCCAAGCCAAACTACAAAAGATGATTGTCAATCACAAAAATGAGGCTGTCAGAAATCATAATACGATATATTTTTGTTACAAAACTGTTACGCCCACGTTCACTACAACAATAAACACAAATTCTGAAAGCATTGCTCTCAAACGGTGTTAAAATTCTTAGAAAACATCTTATAATATCAAGGACACATCACAAGTGAGATGCTGAAGATATAAACTACCTATCATCAAGTATTGAGATTGGGTATGTGTAACGTAGAAAACTCTCGACATATTGCATCGCCACATTCTGCACGCGCCGTGTCGTACATAACTTCCTCAGCCACTTATAAAACGCTCCAATTTAAAAATAAACGGCCGATATAGCATAAACAAAATTATCTTGCCGGTGTAACGCGAAAACTCGAGACTAGTAACTCCATCTAGTGGTACATACAGGAACGAGAGCAATTACATGCGCGCCAAGAATTTTCCATTGTGAAAATGGTTTGAATCTGCGTAGCGTACACATTCGTCAATTACCAACTAGGTGGCGTTACGGGGTTCAAAGATCAATAGCCTTATTGTCTAACATATTTTCGCCGTTAACTACTGCTAATAAAATCGTGTGATTCTTTTATTTTCTAAACCTAATAACAAATTCAAAATTACTGCTGAAGTGCAAACGACATTACATTAACATATAAAGTGTCAATAATGAACGATCCATACCAAATCGGCCAACAGTTTAATAATGGAATTGTTGGCATGAACGTAAGCATTGTGGCACGCCCCAATTTTTGCAATTCCTTAATGGTCGCACTATTACCATGGTCCTTTGCCAAACAATTGAACACGTCAGCAATGATGGTTCGAAATAGGTCAATTAAAATTAGCGTGGCTTATTTGTGTCATTTACTTCTCTTGGAATAGGGATAAAGACGTCAAAAACGTGCCGACTAAATAGAAAGACAATAAAGACAGACATGAAAAATGCCGTTACAAGTTCCCCATAGAAATTTCTAAGTTGTCTTTAATAATGTATTTCATTTGGTATACCCCCACTCGGCTGCCCCCAAAACCTAGTAGTGCTTTAGACAAAATTTTACAGGAGAACCCAAAAACACAAATCAAGGTCGTTCTAGTCGGTGCCAATCAACGAATATATGGATGTCACAAAAATGATCATAAGTTAGGTATATATTACATAGTATCGTAGTAGCCAGAACCAAAACACAGTATGAGCATTTGCTAGGTACCTATTTGATTTAGTTATTGCGTTAGAAGATTTGGAATAAAATTTTATTTTATTTGACTAATAAAATTAATAAAACTACTAATATTTTCCATATCACTAAAGTTCCACTATCCACTAATTGCCAATTCAAATACCTAAGGCACTTTATCTATTTCAAAACTTGTAAATTTTTTTTGTAATATCAAGTGACGGGACGAACAAGCGGTGCGCCTGTTAGTAAGCCACACGTCTGTCCATAACAGTTGCAAAGCCGCTCAGAGCTTTCGCAAAGATCTGAGGCGCACTGCCTGAGACATAAGTTGACAAGTCCAATGTACCTGCAATTTCACCAGCATCCTTATCCTTCAATAGCGGAACACAGTAATGCTAACATTACTGTTTGGCGGCAGAAATAGGTAAGGTGACAGTACTACTCTGGACGAACTCTTTCACAAGGAGGTCTACTGCTACGTAAAACAATGTCAAACACTTACTATGTTTTGAATTGGTTAAAAGTGATTTTTGTCTGGTCATAAACCAGACTAGGTAGGTTACTAGGCTTTTAAACGAATCGTTCGAAATCTCTGATAAATTGTAGAATTTGATATGGGATTAGATTCTGTTAAAAAGTGATATTGAAAACATTTTTTCCGGTACTAGATATTGAACTCTGGAGCAGCCGCACTTTTGTCTACGTTCTAATAATTCATTGGAACTTCAATGACAGAGTGTGAATATATAATTCGTGACATATATATTCACACTCTGACTTTATTTCTTTATTTACTTTCATGTCTGAATCTTCATAATTAGAGTTCGTTCGCCGGTCATCGCCAGTAAGCGCGTCACAAAATAAGTGCTGCCATTACGGTAATTTAAACAGTTTCCTTTGATATACTAATTCTTCCTCTGAGACGTGCAATCGTCAAAAATTTTACGTCTAATTAACACGTAGTTTGACAAATTGGTTCTTGTTCTCTTTCGCTAGATATACGTTCTGCTTCCGAGTAAAAAATGTAGTTCACGTTTTCATTTGGTTGTTTAATGGAAGGATCTTAATATAGCAAATTCTTAGTACGGACAATGGCACGTTTCCCTAACACTATGCCAGTTACGGTACCCATAGACAAGGTGTAACCATTAAATGTGCCTAGGCGATTATTCCATAAATAAGTATAAGAGATATCGAAAAGCTTTAAATTGATACCGAAAGTACGTTACCTAATGAATAAATCAACATCAATAACTTTTTAAAAATAAAACTAGAAATAGCCAAAATTTTAACATTATACGCTC